GCTCCTGGGCGTTTTGTTTGCGAGCTCTGTGATGAGTGTGAGAACTTGGCCCCCCACCCTTGCCCCTGTACAGTCACAAACTGGCCATCCTTTCTAGAATTCATGAACTGAGGGGGCCACTGTTCAATTAAGACGTGCAACTGAAGCTTTTGATAAATGTTTTTGTTTCTTTGTGTTCTTGAGACAGGGTTTCTCTTTCAACAGGGTCTCACTGTGCAGTTCAGGCTGGCCCCGAGCTCACTGTGTGGCCCAGCCTAACCTCGATCGAACTTGATCAGTCCTTCTGTCTCAGCCTCCCTGGTGTTAGGATGACACCATCTCACGTAGCTGATAAAAGTTTCTTTCACAGTCAGCTGGATATGGAAAATGTGACTAGCTCTCCTTTCTGCAGCACCGTAGGGCATAGTGGCTTAGGGCTGAGGGGAGACAGAGTGGGAAACGGTGCCTGGTGACTTCCGTGGGAGCCCCTGGTGTTCTTGCTTGAGGAAGCCTTGCTGCATTCCAGGGCTGTGAGGTAGTGGCCCTGAGTAACACGAAAATGAGAGGACCAGGAAGTGTGGTGCAGGCGATTAGAACTCTCACACCTGTCACCCCAGCACTGGGCCCTGAGTCAGTGACAGACTTGATTCAGCTCCCTCCGAGACTGCATGGCGCTCTTGGGGGCATCTGGATGCAGTCCACGGCAAGGGGCGTGGGGAATACGGTACACACCCAGGTGGGTGCTAGCTCCTTGGGGCTTGAGGCAGGAGGGCTCACAAGCTTAGCACAAGCCTGGGCATCTTGGACTCTGGCTCAACGAAGATTGAAGCCTCAGTGTAATTTTAATTTTCTAATAGCCATGTTCCCTGGGGAAGCAGGTACTGTTCTGTTAATCATTCATGTAAGGGAACTCAACGTGGTTCCTGAGTGTAAAGTGGCATCAGCGTCAGGGTGTCATGAGGTCACACATGGATCTGCCTATTGTGCCACTGTTGGCTGTGCGGCATGGCCATGGCAACAGTGGCAGGGGATACTAGAGGGGACACATGGGAGCCCCATGCCTTGCACACCCTGAGAAGTGCAGTGTGCTCTGCTTGGTGCCTGAGGCTGAGGCAGGCTCACTGTGTCTGCTTGAGGGTCCTACCCTCCCAGGTTGGGTCCAGGTGAGTGTCTGCCCCTTGCTGCTCACAGAACATCTGGCTTTCTAGGGAGGTGTCAGTGTCACTGTGATGGGAGGGGAAGGCAGTCCCTCTCACCCTTGGTGAGGTGATGGAGGCTGGCCTTTGACCAGATCTTCCAATTTTTTTGATCATTGCCAGCTTTTCAGTTGGACTTTTTCATTCTGCTCTCTCTTCTTGATTGACTATTAAAACGCCAGGAATGGAAAAAAATTCAGGAATGGAGTCTTGGCTTTTTGAGATAGGATCTCACTGTGTGGTCCACTCTGACCTCAAATTCATAGTGCTCCTCCTGCCTCGGCCTTCTAAGTGCTGGGAGACAGGTGTGTGCTACCATACCCTGCTAGGAGTCTAGTTTTGAGAGGGCTTCTGAACAGCCACTTTGGGAAGTGGTCTGTTGTCCTGTCAGAAGGTCGCCACGCCATGTTCTGTGGTATTTCTGCACCTTCTGGTCTTGCACAGCCCACTTGTGCCACTGATTCCTGAGTGCAGTTTCATGGCTCACAGGCACAGAAGCATTGGGTCCCGTCCGCTGTGCTGGCCCTGTCTTCATAGCTCAGCACCCAATAAGGCCGACATAAAAAGGTCCTTTGCCCCACAAAGCTGTGCCCTCCATGCCACCCCTGAGCCCCACTGCCTCCCCAGGTGCGACTGTATGAGTGGACCACAGAGAAGGAGCTTCGCACTGAGTGCAACCACTACAACAACATCATGGCGCTCTACCTGAAGACCAAGGGTGACTTCATCCTGGTGGGCGACCTTATGCGCTCTGTGCTGCTGCTGGCCTACAAGCCTATGGAGGGGAACTTTGAGGAGGTGTGGCCTGGGATGGAGACATCGGTGGTGAGGGGTGGCCAGGCAGGGGTGGGCGGTCCTGTGGCGACCTTTGCTATCCACTTCATCTGCTCAGATGTCCCCAGCTGGAGCTGGCCAGGGCCCCACTGTGTTCAGAGAAGAGGACTGTTTTAGGGTCCACTGTGAAACCGGGGGGATTCTGCGGGTCCTGAACCAGATCCTGCCAGCTGCTGAGGGCATGTTCTTGTCACATTTCGTCTGCTTTAAGATTGCCCGGGACTTCAACCCTAACTGGATGAGTGCAGTAGAAATCCTGGATGATGACAACTTCCTTGGGGCTGAAAATGCCTTTAACCTGTTTGTGTGTCAGAAGGACAGGTGAGTGACCCCGCAGGTGCACTGGGGCAGGGATCAGGCTCCCCAGAACTTTCTGAGGGCGTCAGAGCCCAGGGACACTGGGACGCCAGACAGGGACTTCTCACACTGCCTTTCAGTGCTGCTACCACTGACGAGGAGCGGCAGCACCTGCAGGAGGTGGGGCTCTTCCACCTGGGCGAGTTCGTCAATGTCTTCTGCCACGGCTCTCTGGTCATGCAGAACCTGGGCGAAACCTCTACCCCTACTCAGGGCTCTGTGCTCTTTGGCACGGTCAACGGCATGATTGGTGAGCGCACCATGCCCTGAGGCTGCGGGGCACTGGATGGATGCAGGAGCAAAGGGAGAGACCTCCGCGCTGAGTAGTGCCACCGTACCTTTCCTCCTCTAGGACTGGTGACTTCTCTGTCAGAAAGCTGGTACAACCTGCTTCTAGACATGCAGAATCGCCTCAACAAAGTCATCAAAAGTGTGGGCAAGATCGAGCACTCCTTATATCCTCCCAGGGCCCTGTGGGCTATGAGCGCAGCAGTTAGGAAATATTTGTGGGCCTTCCCTGCTGCCCTTTTCTGTGCTTGGATCTGTGTGTGTGGACAATAACAAGCATGCACAGTGAGAGGACCTGTGCCTCGGCTCCTGGCTGTCCCACTGTGTGTATCTCTGGGCCCAGAGAGGATGGGACAGGAGTGGCCTGTGGGGTGTACAGGCCCAGTTGCTGATGGGAGTTTGCTCAGGACGGAGGGCATAAGAGTCCTCCCTGGGCAGTATGGGGATTGAGCCCCTGTCTCACTCGTAGGGTGCTGAGGAGTAGGACTGGGGCCTCCTCATCTCAGCAGCCTCAATTTCTAGTGTAGGGAACACTGGACTGGGCTTAACCGTGGCTCCTGCCAGACATGTAAGTCTGATTCACCTAGAGCACTTTTTAAAGCCATTCAAATCAGGCACTCTGGGTGGCTGAGGCAGGAGAATTACGAGTTTAAGCCCAGTCTGGGTAACATTTTAATGAGATCCTGATTCAAAAATTAAGAGATTCTTGGGCTGTAGCACAGTGCGAAGGCCCAGAGTTTGATCCCTAGGACCACAAATAACAGAAAGAAACCTGCCGTGTGCTTAGGTTGTTGGCTGATGCTAGTCTGTAGCGTCAGGCTCATTGGCTGAGAACGGTGGGATTAGGCAGTGATGTTTGCACTTCCCTGTTGACTCTCTGAAGTGTCTGAGAGCCCTGTGCTGCCTGCAGCCGGCTTCCTTTCCTGGCCCAGGCAGGTATGGGAGGCTGTGGGCTTTCAGGAGAATGGGTGGCAGAACATTCTGGAAGCACATGCTCCTTAACCAGCTGTCCACTTGGAGGTCCTTCCACACTGAGCGCAAGACGGAGCAGGCCACAGGTTTCATTGACGGTGACTTGATTGAGAGTTTTCTGGACATCAGCCGTCCCAAGATGCAAGAGGTGGTGGCCAACCTGCAGGTGAACTGGGTCGGGTTGCAGCAGTCCTATGGGGCCTGAGGGTCCCCTTGGCAGGAAGGTGGTGTCCTGGACCCTCAGGAAACATCACAGCCCCCTGTGCTAGGACAGAGTATAGCTGGGCTTGCCTGGTATCTGGAGGGCTGGGGTCTCACAGCTATAGCAGATGGCCACAGATCCAAAGTTATAAGTGACACTGCTGGGGCTGGCTCCTGCCCGGGGTGCCTGGTGACAGTGCTTGTGAGGTTCCCGTGCCTGGTGCCGAGGCTGTGCCTGCTCAGTGCTCACTGCCTTCTGGCTGCTTTGCAGTACGATGACGGCAGTGGGATGAAGCGCGAGGCCACTGCGGACGACCTCATCAAGGTGGTGGAGGAGCTGACCCGGATCCATTAGCCTCGCTGGCCACACCTCCCGCCACTCACCCTCTGCTCCTCCCTCCCGGTGTCCTGGCTGCAGCTGTCTGCTGAGGCTGTAGCACACAGGGCTGGGCTCGTGGAACTGAGCCACCGTCCAGGAGACAGAGGCTGGCACGAGGTCTGTCCCTGCATCCACCAGCTGCACGCGAGTCCCTGTGTTGCCTTGGACCACAGAGCAGCACAGAGCATTGCGGTGCTGCCAGCTGCCCTCTCCCTCACTCTCACTCTCGCCCTTGTCCTCGGGAGGGGCTCCTGCAGCTCTGGCTGACAGGACGCTGTGTGTGTGTGCGTGCGCGCATGTGTGTGTGTGTGTATATGTGTGTGTGCGTGTGTGTGCGTGCGCGAGTGTCCCATAGTCACTCTCATGCTTTGTCCTGCTGTTCTGGCCTGGGCTGCGGGTTCGGGAAGGCTGTGGGTGGAGGGATGGGCTGGGGGCTGGCCCTGTGTGGGAGCTCCTTTGCTCTGCTCTCTGGCCAGTATGCTGAGCTAGGATGCCCAGAGCCAGGGTGTGGGCAGCCTGAGAGGAGGCAGAGATCGGCCAGTCTCTGGCCTGGGAGCTCCCTTCTTCAGAGAGGAGATGGGGCTGTGACTTGGTTGTTAGTTTCAGAATTTTACCAAATAAAGTAGAACCTAAGAAGTCGTTTTGTTTCTGCCATCTGCCCAGCTGTCTTGGTGTCCCGGGTGTACTTGCCCGTTAGTCCCCTGCAGACCTGGCAGGAGCCCTGCTTCTTGCAGCCACCATGTCACTTGTCCTTGCCTTTGGACATGACTTTTACACTTTTCCTCTGCTACATGATTGTTTCCATGGAATTCTGAGGGGAGTGGGGGTGGTGATGGGTGGCAGGCTTTGAAAATTCAGTGGTTACTGTGGTCATCTTTGTGGAATCGTCCATTCTGTTCCCTCTAATGGGCTGTCCTGTCCTTGCCCTCATTCCCTGGCCAGGGAGCACCAGTCACCTGCAGAGTTTATATTGTTCACCCTCTGGCCTCACAGAGGAACCTGCAGTGACTGGTTTGGATATGGGGAGGAGCTGGGCATGTCAGAGGTTTGCCTTTCCATCCAGCACTGTACCTCCCCTTTCAGCTCGTGGGTTGGGGTGGCCTACATGATTGCCATGGCCCTGAGGGAAGAAAAGCAGCTCTGTCTGTCCTGCAGTGGGGTCCAGTTGACCCTAGACATTGCAGCCTCATGTGTTGGAAACTGGTTTCAAATTTTAACTTGGGAGGGATGAGGAAGCACCATTTGGGGGTCTCTGAGCTCCTCAGGGTGGGTGTGATTCCTGTTTTCTTGCTCCTCCTGTTCTTGGACTGGCATGGGAAATCACAGTTTGCTGAGACTCAGTGGCAGGATTTTAACTCAAAGCCATGGTTGGCATGGGAGAGGCCAGCCTTGTGCCAGGGCCAGCTCTGAGGTTATGGTTTGTAGACTCAGTCTTGGACTGTACAGTTCCCACACTGATGTGTGCCTTGGGGGCTTAGGTCTTGGTTTGGAGTTTGGGGCAGTGGCCGGCCAGTGCATGGCTGGTTTGGCTCTTGCAGTCTCACCCTGGACTAGGACTGAATCCAGTCACCATAGAAACACTGCTGCCACATGGCCACGCCCCTCTGAGAGAGCTTCCACCTCCGACTCACACACAAACACACACATGGAGGACCTGGGGCATCTACAGCCAGCAGCTGGGACCCTCTGCCTTAAGGTGGGATCCCTTCGGTGACTGAGGCTACAGCCTCAGAGGAAGGGACCCTGGGGCCAGTCTGGGAAGCCTTGGAGAGGTGGGGAAAAGATGACAGGGCCAAACAAGTAAGAGGGACGAAGTGAGGCCCAAGGTCCCGTAAGGGACAGCAGTGTCCCCACAGCACCAATGCCCAACGGGGGTGGCATGGCAAGGCAGGTATTCTTTGGGCTGCCCCCTAGGGCTCACAATTGGGGAGCTCATGAGGTTGGAGGAGGGGCCGACTGGGGAAGGGCTTCTGTGGGGTGGAGGCTGGAGCAGCTGACAAAGCTTCCTGGGGAATCAGATCTGGGGCTCTGCTGGTTTCCCGGCAGATGGGCCTGGACCAACACAGACATTGAGCATCAGGCAGGACATTGGGAAGAGGCTGGGGTCCTATCTCAGTGGCCGCTGCTATCAAGGACCTTGGTGGACAGTGGTACCAGACAATCTGGCTTATCTGGGTGGGACACACGGTAAATGGGCCGGGAGCAGACCATGCCACTGCCTGAACAGCCCTGCAGCCTCAGCTTGGGGCTGCAGTGCTTGACCAGCCAAGCTGGGTGGTTGGGACAGTCCTCTTTCCCTCTCCTCTCCCAGCTGCTCTTGCCCACTCTACTGTCCTCCCTCAAGGGGTCTGGGGCCTTCCAGTGCTGATCCTGCTGCTGTACACCCGTGGAGTCGAGCCCAGAGGTGTCCCTGGCCAGGGAGCAGTGGCTCGGCCACCCATGAGCTGGCAGTGGGTGGTCCCGGCTCTAGTTGCAGCTGCACCTACCTTCTCCCAACCGAGGGGCCATGGTGCTGGCCCGTCTCTGTCCTGGAGGCTTGTCACCAGGCCTCAGCAGCCACCCTCCACAGGAAGCTACTCTGAGCCTGCTGGGGTGTGCAAGTGAAACCCCGCCCCGGGGTCCCCGATCTTTGCCCCCTTCCACCTGCCTGGCCTGCAGCACAGCACATTGTGCGACATTTTGTGTTGGGCTCAGGAGGGCTGTGCTGCGCTGCTCAGGAGGAGGTTGCAGGAGGAGGGAACCCCCGTCCCGGCCATGCCAGCCAGGTTGCTGGTTGGGGCCACCTGTGCCATGCTCCTGCTCCTGCTTCTGCCGCCCGAGGTGCCTGGCCGAGGCCCCTCTGGAAGGACACAGCCGGGGCCCTTTGCCAATGAGAGGTAGGGGTGCTGGGCTAGGGGGCAGGAGACCTGGAGATGGGGATGCCTAGATCTGGTGGGTTGGGAACAGGAGGCCCAGGGGGCGGGGCCTGCCCTGCTCCCCAAGTCTGTACCCTCTAGGACTCTCCCTGGGCTACCACTCAGTCCCCAGGATGTTGCACAATGCAGAGTACAGTGAAGAGCATACACAATGCTTGGCTGGTGGTGCCTGGGCTGGAATTCGGGGACCTTGGCAGAGGCCTGGCAAGTGGCTACAGCCCCAGGCACCTTCCACAGCTCCTGCCACCTGTCCCAGCCTGCAGGTTCCTGGGTGATTGCCACCTGCCACTTTACTGGCCCATCTGTCCCTGCAAGAGCACTACTCCCACTAGGCTGCTTTTGGAGGGGTCAGGCAAGGGGCAACGCTGCCCACAGCCTTGATGGTGTCAGATAGAGGAAGGGTCTTGGGCCAGGGATGCTTCTCAGTATCCATGGTCCCCTGTCCATAGCACATTGTACTGGACACAGCAGTCTCAGCTCTATCCATCCCTGTCCCCTGTGTCAGGCACACAGAGCGGGTGCTCTGAAAAAGCCCATGTCTGGACAGGCCCTGCCCACCACTTTTGACGCTGGCCTCCCCATGTTGAGCCCATCTCCCTGCCCTTTCAGTGTCCTGGCTGCCTGTCCCCCAGCAGGGAGGGCACCCAGGAGTGGCAAGGGCTGTGTCTCCACAGGCGCCGCCTGGGCCCCCACGTCTGCCTCTCAGTCCTCGGGAGTGGTTGCTGCCCGGGCTGGGCGCCCTCCATGGGTAGCGGGCACTGTACCCTGCGTAAGTGCTGTCCACACACCCGCCCTACTTGGTGCAGGGGCAGACGGTGGCTGTCCAGCCCCTCACCGGAATCTCTCCCTCAGCCCTCTGCTCCTTTGGCTGCGGGAGTGGCGTTTGTATCGCACCGAATGTCTGCTCCTGTGTGGATGGGGAGCAAGGGGCCACCTGCCCAGGTAATAACCCCAGAGCTGACAGGGATGGGGATGCTGAGCCAAAGCAGTGGGTGCCTGTCAGACCTTGGTATACATGGGGAGGCCTGGGCACTGTGTTGACCGAGTCACAGAACTGGGAGGAACTGGGCTGAACTCAGGCCCGGCTGTCTCAGAATGCCCTCTGGGCAGGACTTGGGGTCTCTGGGCCTGACTTTGGACTTACTAGTGCCACATCTGCTTAGATGCCCATGGGCCCTGCGGGGAGTATGGCTGTGACCTGACCTGCAACCATGGTGGCTGTCAGGAAGTGGCCCGAGTGTGCCCTGTGGGCTTCTTGATGACAGAGACCACCGTGGGCGTCCAGTGCACAGGTGGGGCCAGGGCACAGGGAGGGGTGAGAACACTGTGGCCCCATGGCCTCTGGGGTCAGGGCCAGCTGGGTCAGGCCAGGCTGTGGCATTCCCAGTGCTTCACAAATATTTATCGAGGGACTGGGGCCAGGGCATCGGTCATTGCTGTTGTGGAGCTTCTGAACCTGGGGACAGGGACAAGAACTGGGATGGTGCACAGAACCAGGATGCCTTGTGTCACGAGGCTGTGGGTGGGGGGCTGTGGCACAGAGCAGGGAGACTCCTTGGGAAAATGGCATTTGAAAGATGAGGCTCAATAATTATTTTTTATTTCTTTGAGACAGAATTTTGCTATGTAGCCCATGCTGGCCTGAAACTCAAGGTGATCCTCCTCCTCAGACTCCTGAGTTCTGGGATTGCAAACATGCACCATCACACTCAGCTCATAATTATTTTGTAAAAGTATTTTTTTAGGTGTTATTTTATTTGTCACAGAATCCTGGTCCTTGCACTGAGTTACCTTCCCAGCTCTCCTTTTTTTTTTTTTTTTAAAGACAGAATCAGTAAATTACTCAACTGTGTGATCCTCTTGCCTCAGCTTACAGGCATGCACCACACCTGGTTGTTTGTGATTTTTAAAAAGTTTCTGTAGGCAAAATGTGTTACCTTTTCCAGAGGCAGCCACAGTGACCAATTTCTTGACTTTGCAGAGCAGTAAAACCTTTCTTTGAGTTTCTTTTTTTTTCTTCTCTACCACTGAGCTATGCTGAGGTCCTTTTTACTTTTTAGTTTTCTTTTTTTTTATTTTTTATCGGTACCAGGGATTGAACTCATGACTGCCCACTCGCAAGGCAGGCACTTAAGCCACTGAGCTAAATCCCCAGCCCCTTAGTTTTCATTTTGAGACAGGGTCTAAAAAATTGCCGGGCTCAGCCTACTACTTTGAGATCCCAAGGAACTAGGCTTGCAGGTATGCATACTGCACCTGGTCTTTTTGTAGTTTTAGCTTTGTAAAAACAATATTTTTCCTCTGAAAGGAAAAGCAAATGATAATTCATTTAAAAACATTTGGAAAGTAAGAATAGAAAGAGGAAAATAGACATCCTACTTAGAGATGATGCCACATGTGAAGCATGTACTCTGAATTTTTCTCTGGATGTGTATGTGTTTGTATGTTTATACAGGTGTGTATGTAAGGCATCAACATATGTGTGTCTTTAAAATTAGGATCATAAACTAGGCTTACAGGTGTACACCTGTAATCCAGAATTCAAGAGGCTGAGGCAGGAGGATTGCAAGTGCGAGCCTACTCTTCTGTTCTGGGATGCAGGTGCAGGTCCCAGACAGATCCAGAGCCAACTGTGCAAGAGTTTTCTCTTTCAGACATTGACGAGTGTCTCAGCGCCTCCTGCGAGGGCCGCTGCATGAACACAGAGGGCGGGTTTGTGTGCGAGTGTGGGCCAGGCATGCAGCTGGCTGCTGACCGCCATAGCTGCCAAGGTGAGCAGACAGAGGAGGAAAGAGGCCAGCTCTGGTCCTCTGAGGAAGCACTGAGCCACCCCACGGTACACCTGGGGAAACTGAGGCTGGCCAGGGCAGTGAGAAATGCAGTCAGTGCTTGAAAGGCATCAGGGTGGAGGAGACATGGGCAGAGGGAAGACATGGCCTGAGGTGAGATTGGAGAAGGAGCTGCTACCAGATGGGGCCTGGAGGCCTCCTGAGTGCTGTGAGCAGTCTCTCGGGGCCACAGACCGGACCAGGACCTCAAATGGAGTGAGGACAGGGGTGAGCCTTATCTTGTGCCCACAGATAGGAACGAGTGCCTGGGGACACCCTGCCAGCAGAAATGCAGAAACAGTGTGGGGAGCTACCAGTGCTCCTGCCATGCCGGCTTCCATCTCCACCGCGACCGACACTCCTGTGTGGGTGAGCAGGCCGTGGCCCCTATCCCGTGCAGCTGTCTTGCTCCTCTCCAGGATGCCTTCCAGGGAGCTCCCTGGGCCCTGGCTCCTCCTGTTTAGACAGAAACCCTGCTGTCTGGCTGGCTGGCAGATGTGTCCAGAGGCAGGATGGCATGCCAGGCATGGGCCAGACACCTGGGCCAAGGCGGGTCCTGTGTCCTAAGAGCTAGGCATCTACGAGCCTTTCTGGGCAGGGTCGCTGTTCGGACCATCCAAGGGTTTCTGCACCTGGAGGGGTGAGTCCATGATTGCCCAGGCTCTGGGCACAGGAAGGGGTTCCCCGGCTGTGCAAGGCAGTCAGACCCTCCCGCAGATGTGAACGAGTGTCGGAGGCCACAGGAGAGGAGAGTCTGTCATCATTCCTGCCATAACACCGTGGGCAGTTTCCTGTGCACATGCAGACCTGGCTTCAGACTGCGAGCTGACCGCACGTCCTGTGAAGGTGAGCTCCAGGCTGAGGCTCTGCCCTAGGACCCTAGCCCTGCCTTCGATTTTTAACAATGCCCACATCCCATGCCACACCCCCGCCCCCGAAGCCACTGCAGAATTGGGACAAGGGACAAAACCAGGTTGCTGCAGTGGAGCAGGAACCCTGTGGGGTTAGTTAGGGTTAAAGTTAACTGAGGCTATGGTTAGGATTAGTTAGGATTAGGGTTAGGGTTAGTTATAAGGTTAGGATTAGAGTTAGAGTTAAAGTTAGGGTCTGAGTTTGTTAGTGTTACAATTAAGTTTAGCGTCAGAGTTTGGGCTCAGCTGTCTCCTTGGACGGGAAGCAGGTGAAGCTTGAGCTGTGGTTCTGTGCCACAGTGTCCCTCCAGGCTTTTCCTGTGAGTCTGGCTGCAGTCCCTGCAGGTCACCCTCCACTCTGCTGAGTCAGGTGTTGGGGGGCGGAATTTAGGACCTAAGGCCCTGCTTCCTCCTACAGGAGACCCTGTGCTTCCCTTGCAGCTGTGCCCAAGGTGGTGCTGGCACCCTCGGCGATCCTGCAGCCCAGGCCTCCCGAGTTAGCCTTGCTGCTTCCTGAGGCTGGCCAGCCTGGCCTGTCCCCAGCACACAGCCTTGGCCATGGCCCCATTTCTGGTGCCTGGGCCACCCGTCCTCCAGACCCTACGATGCTGTTGTCCACCCCAATGGTCACTCCAGGGCCTCTTGCCTCACTGCTGGGAACCCTTGGACCCCCTCCCCTCCCCCAAGGGAAGGCGCTGGGCACGCCTTTTCCCCGTCCTGACTCTGAAGACCAGAGTCCTGCACCTGGACCCTCTCCCTGCTGGCACCTGGGAGCCTTTTACACATCAGGGAGCCACTGGGCTGCACCTGCGTGCAAGCAGTGTGGGTGTGAGGTGGGTATGTGGTCCCACTGCCCACTGTGGAATCTACCACCTGGAGGTGGCTGCAGCGCCTGGTTGTGTTTCCAGGATGGGGTGGTGACCTGTGGGAAGATGAGATGTGAGGCTATGTGCTCCCACCCAGCACCCCCACAGGATGGGGGGTGCTGCCCCTCCTGCACAGGTAAGAGCTGGCCTGGGTGTGGGTGTCTGCACGCATGTGTGTGTATGTGCGTGTGTGGCAGTCCTGTTTCCTCCCAGCCATCCTCATCCTGAGGCTATCTCCTGCTGGCCTGCACCTTCCCATCACCTGGAGTGCTACCATCCTCAGATCTCTGGGCTGTTCGACACCCTTGCCCAGCAGGTGGGGGCCAAGGATGTGCTGCTCTGGGGTTGTGCTGTGACCATCACTGGTCTAGGCTGCTGTAGCCCTTATTCACTCACTCATTCATTCATTCATTCATTCAATCTGTGTTTCCCTGCATCCCCATTCTGGCCCTTCTCCTTCTGGGCTGGCCCCCGTCATCCTTCTTTTCTGTTTATACCCTGTTGCTAGTATAAGAAAGGGCTTTAGTTCCTCCCTGGCCCTTCTTCCAGGCCATGCACCCTGCTCTGCACGTGCTGCTGAGGCCCTCATGACATCAGGGACCTGCAGCAGGTACCTGTGTGACAGAGTTGAGTGGAAGGTTCCAGAGAGCCCAGGCAGGCAGGCAGCCGCAGTGAGAGAGGTGCTAGCAGAGTACTTACAAGCACATTTTGGCTTTGGTACCATTCCCAACACTGCAACAACAAAAAACAAGCACAAACCAAAAGTGCATTTTGACTGAGCCTTGGGCAGGAAGCACTGGTGCCTAATCCTGTGGCACGAGTACTTCCTCAGCATGTGGGGTGTGTGCTGGTGTTTCTATTTCAAGATGGAAATGTCAGTGGTGGAAGGGCTCGGTGACCTGCTGAAGGCTACTCAGGAAACTGAGGTAGCAGCTCAGTGAGGGCACAGGTGTCCTCTGTCTGTCCTGCTTGGTGGGATGGAAATGCTGTGCTGTCCACATGCTGGTGGCTGTGAGGGCCCCAGGCCCTTGAGGATGGATGATTTCTGGTCACCCCTAGGGTCCTAAGACCATACACCTGTTTGCCTGTGTACCTTGTGGGCGTTGGGACTGAGTGATAAGGCTCCACCAGCCAGGGGTTTCACATAGCTGACCACCCCTCTGCTGCCTCTTATAGGCTGCTTCTACGGTGGCACAGTGTGGATGGAAGGGGATGTATTTTCACCTCCTGGTGAGAACTGCACTGTCTGCGTCTGTCTGGTAAGCATCACTGGGTCCCCAATTCATGCAGGGTTTTCCTGATCTTCAGAGCTGGCTGGGATTTTGGAGTAGGTGGAGGAGCTGGGTGTTAGAGGGAGCTGATCTTCTTGGGGAGCCCTCTTAAGTTGTGGGTTGCGGGTTTGGATCAGAACCAACCTGGGGAATTGAAAAAGTGGGGGAAATGAAGCTGGGAACTGGAACAGGAGTCTGGGGCACAGGCTGTGGGAAGGTGAGGGAGTCACAGTTCCCAACCTCTCCCTCCCCAACTTATCCCCTCCTTGAGGCTGCTCTCTCAGGCCAAAGATTTGCCCCTGTGATAAGTGTAGCTGCATTTGGGAGGGAGAAGGCTCATTATCACCTTCAGCTTGCCAAGAGGTTTTTGTTTTTTGTGATTCTGGAGATTAAACCCAGGGCCTTTGCATTGAAATGTAGCCTCACCCCATTTACATTTGTTATTTTGAGACAAGCTCTTGTTAAGTGGCCAAGACTGGGCTTGAATGCCATCTTACCTCAGCCTCCTGGGTAACTGGGGTTGCAGGTGTTTGCCACCTTTCCTGGCTTGGTGTTTTGCTTTTGGCAGGGTCAATCTCCCAGGCGTGGTTGGTAATCACCTACTGTGCTCCAACCAGAACTGGACACTGCTCTGTCCTGCAGAGGTGACTGTACACCATCACAGAACTCATCTCTGCCCCATGGTCTCACATCTGCAGGGCCAGCTTTCCCATCCCCATTCCTCCAGGGACTTGGGCTGAGGTCTGAGTCTTGAGCCCAGCGCTGGCCACCACCTCCCTCTGCCACCCTCTGCCTACCTTTAAAAGTGGCTCTTGGCCTGGCTTTGATGGCAGAACCCATGACTGTGTAGCCCAGATTGGCCTCAAACTCTTGTCAATCCTCCTGCTTCAGCCTTCTGGGTACTTGGATCATAGGCATGCACTACCATCCCTGGCTTAATGTCACATTTTTAGAATTTTAAAAAAATTTGTTGCTTCAACCAGCCTGTAACAGCCCCTCAGGCCATGGCTCCCTATGGAGTGGCCAGGCCCCTGAACCCTTCCCACTTTCTGGTTGGGGCATCTCAAGTGACAGGGGACAGGCCCCACTGGTGGAGGAACCTGCTGGCAGGAGCCCCAGAGATGAGCCGTGAAGCATGGCTTCCCTGGGCACTTCCTGGCAGGCAGGCATGGCACAGGTAGCTGGTTTATGCTGGGGACAGCTCCGTGGCCCCCCGTCCCAGCCCTGTCTCCGCTCTGTCTCCTCCATGTCTGTACAGGCTGGGAATGTGTCCTGCATCTCCCCCGAGTGTCCCCCTGGCCCCTGCGAGGCGGCCCCGAAGCCGGATTGCTGTGCTTGCGCCCCGGGTGAGTGGCCCTGGGGCCCCTGTGCCTTTCCCTGCCGCACAGGGAAGGCTGTTTCTGTCAGGGCCACTTGTTCCGGGTAGACATGGCAGCTGGATCTCTGTTCTGCCCTGACCATTCAGTCCCCAGGTGACTGGATGTCCCTGCCACCCCAAGTCCTGTTGGGGGGCATCTCCAATCCTGTGTCACCTCCGTTTTGTTCCCTCATTTGGATGAGGACACTTAGGCTCAGAATGGTCCCGTCATTGCCAGCCAGTTAGCAGTGGAGCCAAGTAATTTCAAAGCTAATGTTTTTTTAAAATATTTTTTTCTTAACTTTTACATGTTATATTGTTATTGCTATTGTTGTTTTGTAGTAGCAGGGGTTGAGTTTTGCACTGAGCTGCATCTCCAGCCCTAATTTTTTGCATGTGGTTTTTTTTTTTTTTTTTTTTTGTCTTTTTCCTTTTTATCGGTACCGGGGATCGAACTCATGACTGCCTGCTTTACAAGACAGGTGCTTATGCCGCTGAGCTAAATCCCCAGCCCCCACGTGTGGTTTTTTGACACAGGGTCTCACTATGCAGTTCAGGTTGGCTTTGAGCTCACTTTGGAGCCCAGGCCTGTCTCAAACTCTCGATGAGCCTTCTGCCTCAGCCTTCCGAGTGCAGGGATTACAAGCATGTGCCACCATGCCCAGCTTCCCCAGCCCTTTTTATTTTCCACCTTAGATTCTGGAAAAACCCCCCAAACAAATAGATTCTGGCTAAGTAATAGGGAAACATCCTGGGCTGCTTGGCTGATGAAGGTGCTGCTGAGATCTGGGCTGTGTGTCTCCTGCTTTCCTGCAGTGCGGTGTCATTTCCGTGGCCGCTGGTATGTGGAGGGGGCTGTGTTCAGCGGGGCTGGTGATGACTGCACCACCTGCGTTTGCCAGGTAGGGTGGCTGAGCCCTAGCTGCTGTGTCTTGGGGTGATGGGAAAGCTGGCTGCCCTGTGGGACAGGGTGCCCTCAGGGTCCAGCCTGGGCATGGCTGTGGCAGTGCCTGCGCAGGGGACAGGACCCGGCAGCATCTGGATGCTGCAGTAGGCAAAGTGGGGGCTGAGTACCAGCAGGTCCCAGCCTCCTGGACCTCAGAGGGACAGGGATGTGGCCTCTCAGAGAGGTGGGGACCTGGTAGGAGAGAGGAGGTGTGGCCAAAGCAGACAGAATCTCTGCATCCTCTGCACCCAGAGAACCACCAGCCAGGAGCCAGGACAGCTAGGGGGACATGGTAGTTGCGGGTGGAGCACTGCTGTCGTGGGCAGGCTTGTGGGTGCAGAGGCTGTGGCTTGGTGCTGGGACATCCCTGGTGCAGGGGCAGTGCAGGGGGGTGACTGTGTGGGTGGATGGGAGCAGATGGAAGGGGTGCAGGTTAGGCCAGGGGTGGTAGCCAGGCTGGGGTCCCTATGGAGCCCTCAGCATCCTTGACCCTACTGCCTTCCAGCATGGGGAGGTGACCTGCTCCTTCACACCGTGTCCTGAGCTGGATTGTCCCCGGGAGGAGTGGCATCTAGGTCCTGGCCAGTGCTGTTTTACTTGTCGAGAGCCCACGCCCCACTCAGGTGAGGCGGTGGTGGGAGGGGTGGGCCTGGTGGGCGAGACGGGCAACACCATGTGCATGTGTGTGTGTGCATGTTTATGCCTGTGTGTACCTGTGCATGTGTGTGTGTTGTGTACCTGTGAATGTGTGCGTGTGCCTGAGCAGGCGAGACTAGCAATGCCATGTGCGTGCGCACGTGTGTGCATATGTGTGTGCACAGCAGGAGTATCTGCTTGCCTGTTGCCATCTGCGTGTATCTGGAGCATGAGCGCCACCCTCACCTCTCACCCACTGCCTTCCCCTTCCCCCACCAGGCTGCTCCCTGGATGACAGCGGGGCTGAGTTTCCAGTGGGACAGGTCTGGTCACCCGGTGACCCCTGTGAGTTGTGCATCTGCCAGGTGAATGACAGCCTGCCTGCCTGTAGCTGCTTCCTGCTGCCCATTTGCACCCCTCCCCCAAGCTGTTTGTGAGGCACCTGGGGCCTTCTGGGCTCTAAAGTGGGGCCAGGCAGGGACTCCTGGGCCCGGAGAAGCTGCCACACCCCAAGAGGGTGGCTGTGCCTCTCACTATGCACTGTGGCGGCTCCTTAGCTTCCTTTCTGCTTCTCCAGGATGGGGTCCTGGACAGTGGTGCCCTGGGCACCCCTAGAGGCCACTTCAGTTCCGCAGGGTCCCAGGCTTAGATCCCAACATTCTCTGCACATGTGTGTGAGAAACTTGGCCTGAATGTGTTTTTGTGGCACCAGGCTCAAACACAGTCCTTGTGCATGAGTCCCATTGCTGGGCTGCTAAGCTCCACCCCAGCCAGTCTTCACGTTTTTATTTGAAACAGAGTCTGGTTCTATTGCTCAGGCTGGCCATGAACCTGTAATATTCCTGCCTCAGGCCCTTAACAAGCTTGCTTGCTTTGTGGGAGTTAGAGGCCAACCCCCACACAGGTGGCTTCTCTCCCATGCTGATAATTTTGGCACTTGTTTTACAAGAGAGTAGAAGAAAGGATCATGAACATTCAGATTTTCTTTCCTTCTTTTTTTTTTTTTTTTTTGTCTTCTTTGAGATGGGGTCTCACTATGCAGTTTGGGCAGGCCTTGAACTCACTTTGTAGCCCAGGCTTGTCTTGATCTCCCAACGATCCTCCCACTTCAGCCTCCCCGAGTGCTGGGATTACAGGCGTGAGCCACCACACCCAGCGAACATTCAGATTTTTAAAAACAGAGAAATGAGATGAGGACAGGAGGAAAGAGAAAGAGAGGGAGAGGGGAACCTTGTACAGAAGTTTGGTCTTTCTGAAGTGGATATTTCTAGTGGGATGTTTTCCAGTTCAGATAGGTTTGGGGTGGCCCAGGGGCTAAGAGCACAGAGGGAAGAATGTGGCTTGAGTGACAGGTGGCTTTTGGCTGCTGCTGCAGAGGCACAGGAGGCCGGGGGACCAGAACTCACACCCAGTGCCCCTGCAGAGCTGTGTGGACTCCTCTGGGAAGGCCCGGGCCCCTGCTGCAGGACCCACTGCCCCTGGTTATGTGTGCTGCCCTTCTTTGGGCTGGGAAGTGGGGCCAAGCCGGCAAGGTCTGGGTGAATCCCTTCCTTAGGCAGATGGCTCGGTGAGCTGCAGGAGGACGGACTGTGTGGACTCCTGTCCACACCCCATCCGGATCCCGGGGCAGTGCTGCCCTGACTGCTCAGCAGGTAATTCCCACACTGCTCCAGCTGTGATTCTCAGGGGTTCTGGGTCCGGACGGCCTTGCCAGGCTTCTCTGTGCATCATCTCCTGACAGACCCCAGAGACCTCAGTCATGCCACTTCACAGAGGAGAAAAAAACAAAACAAAACAAAAAAATGAAAAATATTTACCTAATGTTTTTTAGATGAATTTTGTTCCTGCATCACCCACTTTTCTGCTTGCCAGCCTATGATGTCATCACGGTGGCATCTGGGGTCAAAATGGCACCTTAGCTTGTGCCTGGGGGTACCAGGAGTCAGAGAGCTAGTGCAGGGGGAGATGATGAGAGGAGACCGTGTGTGTACTGGTCCACTGCACCTGAGACCCTGTCATGCAATCCCTGTAGTCCCCAGCCGAAGCCGGTGCTGGGGGCAGCACAGCCTGATACTTGCTGCTCACATAAGCTCCAGTCTCTGCCCCGCTGTCCACCGGTTCCTGCTCACTATGTGCCCCGTTTGCAGGCTGCACCTACACTGGCCGGGTCTTCTATAACAATGAGACCTTCCCCTCAGCGCTCGACCCATGCCTCAGCTGCATCTGTCTGGTACGCACCTGCCTGTATCGGAAACCGAGCAGCTCCTGGATCTCAGATGCTCATTGTCCCTCTGGATGCGTGGGGTGAATCTTAGCCAGTGTCCACATGCTGCGTTAAGCAGGACAGTCCAAAGAGTGGCACTTGGCCTGGAGTGTGGCCTGGGGCTCCTGCTGGTGGTGCCAGCTTCTTTCCCAAATGTCAGCTTGGGAGCCTTGTGTGCCCTGGACCTTCTTCAGGTGGGGGCACCAGTGCCCTGCTCTTTAGGAGCTCCTTGGCTGGTTGGTCTCAGTGCCCACTAAACCATGGGGTTCTTCCAGAACCCTGTGTGGGGGTGACTGGGTGCAGCGGGTCTAGGGCAGAATGGAAAGTCCTGTCACCTCTCACCATGGCTTATGTGGGCAAGCAGGAAGGAGACAAGGCCTTCCAAAGATTGTGAAATGTAGGGCCAATGGTCCCTTGGGTCCGTTGGGTGCTGGCATCTCGTTTATGAACTCCGGTTGTGCACTGGGTCCAGCAGCCCTCAGGTCTGCTTGTTCTCTGGCTGTATCATGCAGGGTGGACCTGGGCCTGTGCCTCTGAGCCCTGGCCACCTGGTTCCAGTCCCCAGGGCTCACCATTCCCCACAGTCCCTGGGGCATTTGGTGAGCAGGTCCCTGCTGATAGCAGAGCTTGTGGACGCAGCCAGCCCTTTGCACTTCTGAGGCCTATGCCCTAGCAGGATGACATGGAGCAAAGGCTACTCCTGCCCCGATGTCTCCCTGGCACTGCTGCCCGAGCACTGCTGCCCGAGCACTGGTGCCAGCATCGCTGTGTCCACAGCTTGGGTCTGTGGCCTGCTCGCCTGTGGACTGCCCAATTGCCTGTACCTACCCCTTCCACCCTGATGGCGAGTGCTGCCCCGTGTGCCATGGTGAGTGGGGCTGGCCTCCGTCCCGGGCTCCGTGGGGCCGGGTCCTCATGCTGCCTCCTGTGCTCCCCAGACTGCAACTATGAGGGCAGGAAGGTGGCTAACGGCCAGGTGTTTGTGCTAGATGATGAGCCCTGTACACGCTGCACCTGCCAGGTGAGCCAAGCACACCATGCATGTGTGAGCTGGTGCCTGTCTTTGCCCACACTCCTCATGACTGTCTCTGCTTTTTCAGCTGGGAGAGGTGAGCTGTGAGAGGGTCCCCTGCCCACTGGTCTGCACTGATGCTGCCCCGCACGTCCCTGCTGGAGACTGCTGTGCCCCCTGCTCAGGTGAGCGGCAGGGTCCCCCGACACCTCCTACCTGGGTTTTCCTCTCAAAGCCAAGTTGGTGGAGAGCTGCTGGGGAGAATCCCAGCCCAGAAAGGGAGCATGGCTTGCTGGGGCTCTGCAGCCCACTGGGGCCTGACTCCTCTGGTCTCATGTGCATCTAACTTTCCAGCACTCTGGAAGGCTGAGGCAGGAGGACTGCATGTTGAAGATTGACCTGGGCAACTTAGCAAGACCTGTCTCTAAGTAAAAAATAATAAAGGACTGAGCTTGCAGCTCAGTGCCAAGGCCCAAGGTTTAATCCCCAGAATTGGGGATGGGTGGGTTGGGACTAGTGGTTGATGGAGAGTGAGCAGTCAGCCTTAGGGTATCAATACTAATGGCCTTTCCCACAATGAACCCTGGCAGGGCTCCTAAAGGAGGAGGATCTGGTAATGGAGGTGGCTCCTGCATCCTCCAAAGCATCTCGGAGTTCCAGCTTTCCCAAGAAAGCTGGGTCTATGCATGCCTCAGATGTGGCTGCTTTTGATACTGGGAAATATATAACTCCCAACTTGCCGGCTGTCAGAGGCGCCGGGTTTGTGTTCCCCACAAGTAAACAATGAATTCTAAAGAACAACAGGTTAAGAGTAGGAGAAATTTACTGAGAGAGACACAGCTCCTGAGGGACAGGAGGGGACCTGAAAGTGGTGTCCCCACTTCTCAGAGAAGGTTTTACAGAGCAAAATCATGAGGTGGGTAAGATGTGGGTCAAAGCTCTGCCCAGTCAATGAGATCACAGGTAGTGCAGTTTAGGTAGCATTGATCTACGTTGATCTAGTGGGTAAGTGAGGTACACAGCAGGGGTCCATGGGAGGAACAAGAACCTTTTCAGGAGGTGTCAGGAGGTCCCAGTCCCTCACTGGGTAACTGAGGTCTCTCCAGACTTTGCTGGACCAGGTGATGCCAGTCACAGTACTGCTCTTGGCCCAATCTTCCTCCTGGTGGAGGCTGAGCTTCTCTGAGCACCTGAGCCGAGCCCACCACTCCGCGCTGAGGGTGCCCTCCGCACAGGCACAGCTCTCCCGGAACTCCATTTCTTCTTCCACGCGTCTCTGACTTCTTCTGACTTCTTTCTTGCATTTGTTTTTTCCCTATAACTGTGCTGGGCTCTAGGCTGAGGCTTCAAAAAATGAAACAGCAAAACAAAACAAAACAAACCACTGTTTTTTTGGTGCTGTGATGAACCCAGGGCCTGAGAACTCTGCCGCTAGGCTACCATGTGGCCCTAAGTGAGCACTTTTATGTAGATTTTAATTTTTATTTATTTTATTTATTTTTATCTTTTTGAGACAGGGTCTCACTATGCAATTCAGGCTGGTCTTGAGCTCACTTTGTAGACCAGGCTGGTCTCGAACTTGCAAAAATCCCCCAGCCTCAGCCTCCCAAGTGCTGGGATGACAGGCATGTGCCACCACACCGGCTTCAGATTTTTATTTTTTAACATAGATTTTTAGAGAATGTTCTAGGCCCACAGGAAATCAGAGAGGGTTCAGCACTCGCATCTGTTGCCCAATTCCATGGATGGCTGCCACCAAGACATTGGCTCCCACACCTGGTGGGAGAATCCATACTGCTGTGTGGCTCTGCCAGGTGTTTGAACTGGTGGGGCTTTTCCACTGTCTGAGGCTGAGGACACAGGAGTGTGGGCCTACAGGGACCTGGGCAAGGCTGTTGGGTCTGCGGCTACTGGGACTCTGTCACAGGCCTGCTGAGGTACCTCGAAAACTGCATCTGTGCCTCTGCCTGTCCCAGAGCTGCCTCAGCCCTGGACAGAAAACCCAGTGTCTGCTTCCTGTCCCCCCAGGTTCCCTGCGCCCACTGGATGATAAGCCGGGGCTGTTGGCTCCCAGAGATGCTGAGGTCCTTGTCCCCTGCAGGACTTGTCCCAGGCCCCCCACCGCGCCCCCACCTCAGCCTGTGCTCCAGTTGCACAGGCAGCTCTCAGGGGCCAACGCATCTGGAATGCTGCCTGAGCCTGCGCCCCGCTGGGGAGCTGGGGTCCTTGTCCCAAGGAGACCTGGCTCCTTCCAGGTGCCTCCGCGCTCCTCACTACCTCCTGCTTCTCTAGAGCGTCCCCTTCCCACCTTGGGAGCCCAGCTCCTGACCATTCAGGTCCCTAGCCCCACCAAGACTCCTGCCACCCTGCTCCAGCCTCAAGGGCTCTCTGCAGCCTCAGAGGCCACCAGACACCCTGGGCCCCAGCAGCCCTCCATGGGGATGCCCCGGAAGGAGGAACCCCTGCTCTGAGAGGCCCCTGGCCTAGGGATTATGGATGGAGGCCACTGAGAGTCAGGGGAGATCCGCGGGGCAGTGCGGTCCCTGCCCAGGTATCCTGCGTGAGAGACGGATCAGCGGATCAGCGTTGCCTGCCAGATCCTTCCTCCTTGGGCCACAGGACTGCCACCTGCTGGCTTTGGAGGAAGGCAGGGCCCTGAATTGTGAGAGGTCACTGTCCCCACCCCAGTGCCCTGATTAAACAGTCTCAATCTCATTAGCTGCCTCACCCCTTCTGTGGCCCCTGCCCAGTCCCCAGGGGATGGAGCCCTGCTGGGCTGTGGGATGGCTCTGCAGTAGGAGGCAAACAGTGGCTTCTTAAGGGGACCTTCCCTAGGTACCCCAAGCAGGCCTGGAGATAGAGTCTGGGTGAGTGTTACGGAGGAAGTTTCAGTCCCGGGTTCCAGCGGAGCTTCAGTGTGGAGTGTGGAGATGGTGCCACTGTCTGGTGCAATCCTACCTGGGACTGGACTTGTCCAGTTCCTCATATGCAGGTTACCTAGGGTGTCAGCTGAGCAACGGTGTATGTGGAAAGCCTCACCATTTGGGATGGGACCGAGGGTCGGACTGAGGCTGGGCTTAGCCCCTCACTGGGCAGTGGGGTTTCTGACCTTCTGCTGCCCTTGAAGGAACTGTCCTGGTGGCCTCGGCCAGGAGTCGAACCTGCATTAGTGACCTGGCCACAATCACGCTCTGCGAGGACCTGGCCCATCCCTGTGTCCTCCCTGGAGAGCCTTGCTCTGTGCCTGTGGCTCCTGTGCACATGCAACAGGGCCCCACTGAGCAGTTTCTAGGACCTTGGGCTGGGCCGGAGCCATTGCCTGGACTGAGTATGGGGCTCAGAGCCAGCCCCACCCCTTGGAGGCAGCAATGGCACCGGGACTCTGGGGAGGCTCTGAGAATTAGACTCAGGGGGAACTCGCTTTGTCTGTGGGCCTGACATTTGCGGCTCCTGCCTGTCCTCTGTCCATCTGTCATCAGGGTGGGCTGGGGGTCCTGGAGATAAGTGCTCAACCTGAACTGGCCCAGGGCCTCAGCAGCTTGGGTCCCAATATCATGGCTGCTCTATCTCAGGTCCCACCCTTATGGTTCCAGGAAGCTTATGTGGGTGAGAACAGCTCTGTTCCTCAGTTTCCCCAAGCCTGGGAGCTTCCCAAGACCAGAGGTCCAGGCCTGCTTCAGAAGGCTGACTGTGAAGGCTGAAACTCCATGGTCTAAAGACAAACAGGTTTCTCATCAGGACGAGTGAGCTTTGAGAGGTTATGGAATTGCTTTGAATAACTGGTTCTGGGTGTGTGGACAATCCCACCCCCCAACTCCAGAACTGGAACCAAACCCAGCTTTCCGGTGAGCTGCATCCCCAGTCCCTCTGTTCATTTATTTAATTAGTTTTGAGATGGGGTCTTGCTACATAGTTCAGGCCTTGAACTTACTATGTAGCCCAAGCTGGCCTCGAATTTTCAGTGATCCTCCCAAGTGCTGGGATGACAGGCGTGTGACATGAAGCCTGGCCACTATTTTTTAATTTTGAAACAGGGTTTTGCTGAATTGCTCAGGCCAACCTCTAACTTTTGGTTCTCCTGCTTCCACCTCCCAAACAGGTGGGATGACAGGTGTGTGCCCCTGGGATGGGAAGGAGAAATACTAGCAGAGAAGTAGCCTCACAAGCATTTGGGGCAATTTCTGTTTTTATTCTACATGACTGGCATGGTGAGAGATGAAGCTGGAATCCGGGTCCCTGGTCCCCAGCGACGAGGGAGCCTGTGGAGATGAAGCGTACACATTATAGTAACCTTGAGTAGAGGCAACATCTTCCTGCAAGTAGCTGGAGAGAGCCAGGCCCACTGGAGAGCATACAGAACTGGTAGTGAGACACCCCAGGCCTCAGGAGCCCTGCTGGGTCTGAGAAGAAGCAAAAGCTGTGTTTTGGCTGCTGGCAGTGTGCAAAGACGTCTGGGCCCAGATGTTCCTGGTTGGGGGTCTGCTCACTGCACAACTGGTCTCCTGGGAGGACTGCATGGTCCAGTGTTTCTAGCATCAGTGCCAGGGGTTTGGGGTGAACTCACTGAGCTGCAGGAGGTGGCAGTGTATTCTGCCAGTGTTGATCCAGTTTACTTTCGTTCCCACAGTATGAGCTGAGTCAGAGCTTCCATTCATGAAACACCTGCACTTTGCAATCACTTCATTCCCAGTAGAAGTGTTCACCCAGCCTCTTGCTTTGTGCTATGAATCCTGCATCCTGCTGTCAATGGATTCACTTTATTTTTATTTATTTATTTATTTTTGGCATTGAGGATTGAACTTATGACCTCATGCTTGTGGGGCAGGCACTTACACTACTGAGCTAAACCCCCAGCCCAGTGGATTCACTTTAAATGGTGCCTTCGAAGAGGACAAGGGTATGGGGTGAGCAGCAGGTGGCCAGGGACATCAGGTTGTGTAAGTCAGGGATGAAGACTGATGCTGGTGACAGCTCCCTGGGGAGGGGCGGCATGGATGCTCACAGTCTCTGCAGTCCTTACTCTTAAACCTCGAAGGGCACCTGTACAGGTGACCTGGCTTCCCTGGGGGCAGCCCTTCCCTGCTCAGCGCAGGGCTCAGGTGGAAGGGGACCCCCTGTAGACTCTACCTTGCACCTGTTCATTTAGCCAGGTATTTGTGTCCTTTAAAAATCCTCTCTAGTAAGCAGGCAAATGTAACTGCAGCATCTCCTTGAGCTCTGAGAGCTGCCTTAGCATATTACTAGAATTTTGAGGGTGGAGTCATGGGGACCCTACTTTTGACAACTGGAGTCCAGATGTGTTGCTGGGCCAGAAATGGGGGCAGGCTTGGGGACCAAATCCTTCATCCATGATGTCCGACAGCGTCTCCAGATCCTCCTGTGCCTTTTCTGTTCTTGAAGATGTTGGTGGAGTCTGCAGGGGAGAAGCAGCAGTCCTGTCACTGTTCCTGTCTGCCACACCTCAGGCATCTCTCCCCACCAGGCCCTTGGCCACAGCCTCTTACTTAGGAGCTGGTGAGCTAGAAACTAAAATCATGAACCAGAAACGAACCTCGCCTTTGAGCAGTGGGTGCTGGGTATTGCATCCCAGTGATGGGAAAGTAACAATGACTGATGTTGGGAGAGTGGAGAAGAAACTGAGTCTGAGAATGAATTCACCTGTTTGGTGTCTGAGAAGTGGGATTCGTTAGACTAGTTCTGGCTGAAGGGAACACGAAGTTTGGGACAAAAAAATGATGAGGGGGAGGAGAAAAATTGGGTGGAGTTGAAGTGCCTGCCTTACAAACAGGAAAAGGAAGGCACTGCTCAGGTGCTACAGTCAGCAGTAACACGCTAGATAGGCAAGGGCCACATGGCCCTAAGCCACTACCCAGGGTTTCAGTGATAGTCACATGTGTGCTCTCAGGGCCCTTGTCTCTCACTGTGAGGTGTTCGCGTTGGCAGAAGCCATGCAAGCCGACTTCTCCAGTTAAATGAGGCAGGCGCTCAGGCACATCCTGTTCTCTTGCAAAGCGGAACTGCTAGGTAGCACCACACCGCTGTCCAAAACGCGGGGGTTCAGCTTGGCCCCAGGAGGCCACTCTTACCTCGTGAGTCTCCATACCCAGGTTTCAGACGGCCCCACATGTGTCATCATCAGAGGGTGGGTGATGGGCTCAGGGTAAGGACCAAGTGGACGATTAAAAAGAACACTTTCGTGGGTCAAGGAGGCTGTCAGAATTATTAGCATAAAAAGCTGTAAGAAACCAAGGGGTTGGGGCTGGAGATTTAGCTCAGCAGCATAAGTGCCTGCCTTGCAATTGCAAATGTGCGGTCGTGAGTTCAATCCCCGGTACCAATTAAAAAAAAAAAAAGAAACCAAATATTTTCATTAAAATGTCACAGAAGGAAGGTCTCCAGAACTTGCCCCAAACTGACTAAAACAGGCGGCTTCCTGCAAAAACTATGACAACAAGATTATGTAAAAAGTGATAAATATGTGGAGGCAAAGACTCAAGAGACACTGAGGAAGATGGGCCACTACCACACAACCCTCCTTTATTCATGGTGCAGACTTCTTCGGAGCAAAGGAAAAGCCCAAACATCAACTGAGTGATGCGGAAATGTTGAGGACCGATACACATAGAAAACAGCACAGCTGTGCCCAGCTGGGATGATTCCCGTGTTCACCCAGGAAAAGAAAGCCGTGTTCCCACTTCTTCAAGGGTGAATCTTTTTTTCTGGTCTCTCTCTTTAGTTCCCCTCGGTTCCCTCGGTCCAAGGGCAGCCTGCAGGAAGGGCGCTTGCACAGCCGGGGCTGCAGCGATGAGTGAGGACAGCACCTCCAAGAGCCAGGAGCTGGGACTGCAGGGAGCTGGGCTGGGGCCGAACTCTGCAGGGTGGGGTGGGGGTGCCGAGAGGCACAGAGGGACTATAGGGTCGCAGAGGGATGGAAAGAGGCGCCGAGAGACAGGACCCTGGAGTATACGTCACCCAAATGGATGAAGTCGCCCGGAGAATGGACCCTAGGATGAACGAATGGACCTGAGGCCTGGCAGAATAGACCAAGGAGGCACAGAGGGATCTGAGGGTAAAGGACTAGACTGAAGGCGGGGCGGAAACAATCAAGGAGAGACGGAGAAGCCTGAGGAGACGTGGAAGGACCCGAAGCCTGGCGGAAAGGACTGAGGAGGCCACGGAACGTCCGGAGCAGACGTGTGGGCAGAGGGGCCTGAGGAAAAACAAATGGACCCGAGGCCTGGCATAAATAACCGAGGAGGTGGAGGCTGAATAGGACATTTCGTTACCATGAAGCAGCAGGGAATCTGAGGCCCTGGACTGGATCCTGTTATAACTTGGGCCCTGGTATAAAATCCAAGGAAGCAAGAGACTGAAAATTTGGGTAGCAAAGGCTTTATTTCCAGGCCTGGCGATGAGTCTCCAGGAGCCAATTTGGAAACTGTGTCCCAGAAACTGAAGGGAGGACTTTAAAAAGAGGCTGGAGGAAAAAGGTGTGTGTGTGTGTGTGGGAGAAACAAAGAAACCTGCAGAGCCATCAAACTTGTCGACCGGAGTCTGGAAACTGTATTGCTGTCCACTTAGCTCTGACAATCTCGGGAGTTCCTGGTGTTTCTCAAATTACTCCCATCCTACAGACTGACATTATCTTGGAGTGGCACATCTGCAGCAATATTTGGAGAAGACAGTGGAGAGTTAATTATCCCAGGACAGCTCGT